GTGTGCCGCTGCTGCCCCTGCTGGCTGCCAGCGCCGTCTTCCTGCTGGTCATCCTCGTCCTGGGCGTCATGGTGGCCCGCCGCAAGCGGGAGCACAGCACCCTCTGGTTCCCCGAGGGCTTTGCGCTGCACAAGGACGCGGCTGCCGGCCACAAGGGCCGGCGGGAGCCTGTGGGCCAAGACGCGCTGGGCATGAAGTGAGGACCCTGCCCCTTCCCTGTCCCTGACCGTGGGGGCCTTGTGAGCCCTTGACCCCATCCTGACCTGACTCTGACCTCTGACCCCAACTGACTTCAGACTCTAGCCTGGACCACAGTGCCCATTCCCTTGACCACTGACTCCATAATCCCTGGGGGTCATCCCTGATTTGTGACCCTTGACCTCGTTTCCTATGATCCGGTTCCCCTGACTCAGTCCTACCCTGACCCCACCCTGACCCCAACCTGATGCCAGCCTCTCAGACTTCACCCTGATACTCAAAATTAGTTCCCACGTGACTTCTGATCTCATGACCCCTGTCTATGCCCCAATCCTTTGCTGGCCCCCTGACCTTATCCTCTGTGAGCCCCAATAGTGCCTCTGGTGCTAACCACCTTGACCTTTGACCTAATCTCTGACCCCCTTTCTGCCCCAGCTCAGTGTTCATTCCCCATGATCCACAATCCTGACATTGGCCCTGAGCCTCACTTCCGACTCCCTGATCTGACCCTCAAGACCCCAACCCCACTCTGACCTAATCCCTGAATTTACCCCTCTCCTGTGACCTATGACCCCTGACCCTTCCCAGCAACCTCCTCGACCCTGTCTACATCTCTCACCTGTTATGAAGATAACTCTATCGTCCATGACCCCTGACGTCATCTTCTGTAACCCCTGCTGTGTGCCTGGGATCCTCACCTGTCCTATAGTGATGGCTCTGGCCTCTGCCCCCACCCCTGTCCCTTCCCCACTTCCATCTTAAGAGACTTTTTTTTAGTGGAGGCACCATTAAACCCAGGACCTCGTGCATGCTGAGCACGCGCTCTACCACTGAGCTATACCCTCCGCCTCCCAGTTCCATCTTAAGACCCTAGCCACCATCCGTGCTAATCCCTGACGGTACCCCCTGCAACCTTGACTGCATCCTGTATCCCCTCATCGGACCCTGCCCCCTGCGCCTACTGACCCAGCACGTCTCCATTGTCCCCTCTCCCATCCCCTCTTCCCATTGTTCCCACAGGAACATGGCCAAGGGTGAGAGTCTGATGGGGGAGGTGGCCACAGACTGGATGGACACAGAGTGCCCAGAGGCCAAGCGACTGAAGGTTGTGTCCCCTTTTGTGTCCCCTCTGATCCCTGCCTTCAGGGTCCCGGGTGGGGGCTCAGTGGTCAGTGGGAGAGCCAGGGAAGTCACTGCTGTTGCCAGCTCTGGAGAACAGTCCTGGCACCCACCCCATCCTGTGCCTCTAACCAGGCCAGCCTGGCCTCTTCCTAGATGGGATGCCCTGGTCCAGACAGTGACTCTGCTTTCTCTCCATTGCATCCAATTGAGTCCAGTGTGCCCAGCCTGAGAGAGCTCCCAGCTAGTCTCTTCCTGTCCTGGGCCTCACCTATGGGCCCTGTCTTAGTCAGCTTGGGCACCATAATGCAGTACCAGAGACTGGGTGGCTTAAACCACAGACGCTTATTTTCTCACTGTTCTGGAGGCTGGAAGTCCGAGATTAAGGTGCTGGCAGGGTGAGTTCTTGGTGAGGACTCTCTTCCTGGCTTGTAGACGGTGCCTTCTCACTGTGTCCTCATGTGGCCTTTCCTCTGTGTGTGCACACGCAGAGAAACCACTCTGTTGTCTCTTCCTCTTCTTATTAGAACGTCGGTCCTATTAGATTAGGGCTCCACCCTTCATTTAATCTTAATTACTTCCTTAAAGTAACTAGAGATGACAAGACTTATCTCCAAATACAGTCATGTTAGGGGTTAGGGCTTCAGTGTTCGGCTTTTGTTGCACAGTTCAGTCCATGACAGGCTCCTGCTAGCAACACTTTTTTCTCTCTCTTTTTTCACTGTTTTGTTGTCTTTTTTCTTTTATTATTATTATTACCATTATTATTTTGCTAGCATTACTTTGACACTCGCTGAATGTCTTAAATGCACAGAAAGTACCTTATTTCATTTTTATAATGATGTTATGAAGTAGCTATTGAAACACCCCTCCATTCTTAGCTGCCCCTGCCCCACCTGTATTTTGATGTTTGTTGACATGGAGACGTCTATTGCAGTCGACAGCTAAAGAAATCTGCTTGCCCCAGGCATTTTCCCCCCACTTTTTCTTCTAAAAGTGAGTGTTAAGTAGATGGAGCAGGTGTTTTTGAGGGTGTTTTAGCACTGAGCAATGACGGCATCATCCTGATTTTACCAATGAGAAGCTCAGATCTCTGATGTGATTTGCCAAGGGTCACAAGCGTACTTAAGTGACAGTGTCAGACATTGAATCCACATGAAAGGTTGCCTTATCCTCCTTGACTTTTTCTGTTAGCTGTCCATCACCTGGCTCTCCCCTTTCATGAAATTCAACTCCCTACCTGGGCGCTTAAGCTCAGATCTGGCTTGATCGGTCTCTGAGCTTGGTGTCCACAGCCCAGACTTTTTTATTTATTTATTTTTATTTTTATGGAGGTGTGAGGCATTGAAATCAAGAGAAAGGAATTAGAAATGAACTACTTCAAAGAAGGCAGTACAATGTTTACTATTTTCAGCCATTATTGCAAACATGTAAAACCCAACAGAATTATACCGGAAAGCCAACATGAAAATTAGTCAATTCCGTACGGTAGAGTTGGATATAAAATGCACAAAACTCAGTACTTTCGTATGAACAACTAAATGCTGGAAGATATCAATAGGGAAATACACCATTTACAATAATAAAACCAAAATACCTAGAGCTACACTTGATAAAATATGCTTAACATATGAAATAAAATGGTCTGCTTCAATCCCATGGTCCCCATTCCCTACAGGTCAGCGACTCAAGCACTGGAACGTTTTGCATTTCTTCTGTTAAATTTAAAGGTTTTCTTGTCCTTCTTGCTACTGTTATCAATAGAACTGTCCTCTTACTGTTGTTTTTGGTATGTTCCTGCCTCGTGTACTGACAGGTGTGCGCTGACAGGCGCTGTGCTCTGGGTCTCTCCCTTGATCCCCCACCATGGATTCCCGGTCCCTCTCCCCTTCCAGCCTGGATGAAGTTCTTCCTCTTATGTGTTCTCTGAGCTCCACTACATCGGCTTCCCACTTCCTTATCTATGTGAGAAGCAGGATGTTAATGGTTTCTCGGGGCCACGTGTGCATCTCTGTGAGAGAGGCCTGTGGGGATGCCCAGACTGTCTCTGTCTCTCCCAACTCCTTGTGAGAACCTTGGTCCTTGTGCCTCCAGGTAGAGGAGCCCGGTGTGGGGGCTGAGGATACCGTAGACTGCCGCCAGTGGACTCAACACCACCTGGTTGCCGCCGACATCCGCGTGGCACCAGCCATGGCGCTGACACCACCCCAGGGTGACGCCGATGCTGATGGCATGGATGTCAACGTGCGTGGCCCAGGTCAGTGATGGTGTCCCTCCCCCCTGCCCCCAGAATGCCCCTTACCCATCCTGCTGGTGAGAGGTTGCATTTGGGTCTGTGTTTTGGGAAGAGCTGAGTGTGTCTGGGCATCCATCTGTTGGGGGTATGTGTTAATCAGGACTCTTGGTTGTAAGTGATAATAGCCTAAACTGAGTTAAAACAGGGGATTTACTGGCTCTTGTAAATGGAAGCTTCAGGCACATCTGGATCCAGGACTTACCACCTCTTGGCTCCAGCCCAGGCAGGCTTTCTTCTGGGGACACTGATGGCTACAGGTGGGACAAGCCTCATAAAACTTTTTCCCCATCTGTACCATCAAAAGTTCCAGGATGAGTTCTGATTGGATGGACTAGGGTCAGATACCCATCCCTGAACCAATCAGTGTGGCCTGGGGCCTGGAATATGCAGATTGAGCAGGCCTGGGCTAGATGCCTGTCCCTGGGGGAGGGGGTTTGGCTCTACTGAGCGTGTGAGGATGGAGAATGGGGTACAGGTGGCTCCCTAAGGGAAACCAGGGCAAATGCTCATGCAGAGTATAGGAGAGCATGTTACCTGGAGCCTCTTAGATCTCTTTGATATATCCGGGGGTGTTCCTCCCCCAGCTCTGTTTTGCTTTTGCTCCAAATGGCCTGCATCTCTAGCTCTCTTTTGAAGTCCCCCAGGCTACTGGGGCCTGAGGTGTCTGGTATTTTATGTCCCTGGGGGCAGCTGTTAACCAGTGAGTGTGCGAGTGTGAAAGGCACAATTCCTTTGCCTCGAACTGGATTATAGCTCTGAGGTGCAACGCAGCCTGCAGAGTTTCCCTTTGGGATCAGGCTGAGAGAATTCTCCAGGAGTTTGCCTGAGGTTTTGGTTTTTTTTTGTGTTGTATTTTTTGGTATTATTGTATAGTCAGTTTACAGTGTTGTGTCAGTCTCTGGTGTACAGCATAATGCTTCAGTCATACATGAATATACCTATATTCGTTTTCTTATTCCTTTTCACGGTATGCCTGAGGTTTTGCACACATCTTTGTATCTCCTGCTGCATAGGAGCCCTTCTGTGATAAATCACATGTCCATGGATCCTCATTCTGGGTTGGCTCCTGGGGCACCTGATACGTGTATGTGTGTGTGTGTGTGTGATGGGAGAGTTTGCCACTCCCTCTTTTGCTTCCATGTGTCCCACTTCCTCCTGATGCGGCACCCGTGATTGTATTACCTGGAAAGGTCCTTTGCCCACCTCCCTTGTGGCACACTCCTGGTCCCTGCAGATGGCTTCACCCCGCTAATGCTGGCCTCCTTCTGCGGAGGGGCCCTGGAGCCAATTCCAACCGAGGAGGACGAGGCAGAAGACACATCAGCCAGCATCATCTCAGACCTGATCTGCCAGGGGGCGCAGCTTGGGGCGCGGACGGACCGCACCGGTGAGACGGCCCTGCACCTGGCTGCCCGCTACGCCCGAGCCGATGCGGCCAAGCGGCTGCTGGATGCTGGGGCAGACACCAATGCGCAGGACCACTCAGGCCGCACCCCCCTGCACACAGCCGTCACTGCCGATGCCCAGGGCGTCTTCCAGGTGAGATGGGCTTGCCTCTTTGGACTTCAGAGCTGGGACAGGCCTCAGACTGATCTGAGTTGAGCTCTGGTTCTGCCTTTCAGAGTTCATCTTTCTCATTTGTAAAATGGGGGATATGTGAGATCACAGTCTGGCAAGTAGCTGTTCCCTGAACCTCATCAGTTCCATGGGTGTAGGGGCTGGGGGCCTCCGGGGGCTTAGAGGTGGTCCTGGTTCTCTTGTTCTTGCCATAACTCTCCCTGCTACACCCCACCTCCCTTAGATTCTCATCCGGAACCGCTCCACAGACCTGGATGCCCGCATGGCAGACGGCTCGACGGCACTGATCCTGGCGGCCCGCCTGGCGGTGGAGGGCATGGTGGAAGAGCTCATTGCTAGCCATGCTGATGTCAATGCTGTAGATGAGCTCGGTAGGCTGCTGGGGAGAGCGGTGGGTGGAGGCTGACTATCTTGTTGGTGTGAACTCACACCCACACATGGACCCAGACATTGAAGCACATACACACATAAAAGGGTTTCAACATGGACTTACACTCTCATGCATTAAAAAAAAAATAAAGGCACCCATTAGCCCATATTACATGGCAGTGATTTAGAAAAAGGTGCCCTTTCCCAGCACTTCACTTCCATCGGCTTTGTTAGAACTTACTCTGCTGCCATCTACTGGACAGCTGTGTAATACACCTGCAAATCAGGCAAATCTGTATGTGAAGGTCACTCCCTGGAAGTGGCTTACTTGCACAGAGATGTGCAGGTTCACGGCAACCTGCCCTCGTGTGTAGAGAACCTCACACAGCCGTACACACACTCAGACTGTCAGAAGCATCCTTTGGAGCTGGTGTTCTCAATCTTAGCAACATTGACATTTAGGGTTGGGTCCTTGGTGCTGGGGGCCGTCCTGTGCCAGGCAGGATGTTAAGCAGCATCTCTGGCCTTGACCTACTAGATGCCAACAGCACCTCCCAGTTGTGAGCACCAAAAATACCTCCAGACATTGCCAAATGCCCCACAGGGGAAAATCACCCTTGGCTGAGAAATACGGTTGTCCAGTAGAACTTCCTGTGACGATGAAAATATTCTTGGTCTGTGCCGTCCAATATGGTAGCCACTGGCAACACGCGGTAGCTGTCGAGCACTTGAAATGTGACTGTCATGAACAAAGAACTAAATGTTTTGTTTCACTGAATGTCTTAACCTTTGTCTTGCCTGTTTAAAAATAAAAATAAAAAACAACCAGCTGTATTGACATATAAGTCATATGCCATACAATTCATCCATTTACAGTATAAAATCCAATGACTTTTAGTATAACCATATAGTTGTGCAGATATCATCACAGTAAATTTTAGAGCATTTTCATCACCTGAAAAAGAAACCCTCTTGGCCCTTATCCCCCCAACCCTCTCATCTTCCCAGCCCTAGGCAACCGTCAGTATACTTTCTTTCCCTATGGATTTGCCTATTCTGGTTATTTCATATAAATGAAATCATACAACATGTGGTCTTTTTTGACTGGTTTCTTTCACTTAGCATAATGTTTTCAAGGTTCACAAATGTTGTAGCATATATCAGTATTATTTCTTTTTTGTTTTTTAATGACTAAATAATATTCTACTATATGGATAAACCACTGTTCATTCATCCATTCATCCATTGATGGACATTTGGATTGTGTCTGTTTTTTGGCTGTTATGAATAGTGCTGCTATGGACAGTCACATCTAAGATTTTGTGTGGACGTACGTTTTCGTTTCTCTTGGGAATATCCCTAGGAGCAGAATTGCTGGGTCATGCTCCCTATCCAAGGCCATATTCTAGACAATTCCTGTCCTCCTGCTGGGGGGGTGGGGTGGGCAGTAAATGAGCCTGGTCCTGACCTTGACCTCTCCCCACTTCCCCCCAGGAAAATCTGCCTTACACTGGGCTGCAGCTGTCAACAACGTGGAGGCCACCTTGGCGCTGCTCAAAAATGGAGCTAATAAGGACATGCAGGATAGCAAGGTGAGCCCCAGCCCCCGGCCCATCTGGGAGCCAGCCCTGGCACAGCCTTCACTGGTAGCAGAGAGCAGGTTGGGGTAGGCTCATGGGGGCATTTACCCTGCCTGCAGCCAGCTTTCAGGTGTGGGATTTGGGCCCAAGAGTCTCCAATAATGGATCAGAGGAGGAAGTATATGGCAGTTGTGTGTGTGACCTTGGGCAAGTTGCTTAACTACTCTGAACCTCTCTTCTCATTTTTGAAGTGGGGAAGCAACAGTACCCATCTCATTGCCTCTTTTGAGGATTCACTGTGCTAATGCTTTTGTAGGGTGCTTAGCGGATTCTCAGTAAAAGATAGCTCTTATGATTGTTGTTTAAAAACCCTTGCAAGGTGGTATTCCTCTCCTTTTACAGATGAAACAGTGAGGCTTAAAGCGGGGCCGGGATGGATTCCATCCTTATTTTAAATTTCCATATTATATTCGTCATGGATTTTTTTTGCATTAATCGTAATTTTTAAAGATTGCGTTAAAATGTCATTTATTTTGATGACTGAGATTTTTGACTCCCGTAAATCTTGTGCCTAAGGCGAATGCCTCAATCTCCTCACCCTAGTCCTGGCTCTGGAGCCTGGAGCTTAGTAGGTGCTGGATGAAGGTGGCTTAAAGGAAATAACTTGCCCAGTTTTTCCCAGCAGAGCTGAGATTCCAACTTGTCTGGAGAGTGTGAACTCTTAGCTCTCAGATTTCCCCAGAGACTGGAGGGAGGCCTCTGTGATGTGGGCCAGGAGTTAATCCTGACTCTTGCGACCCTGTCATCTTGTGGGTTCTGTGCCCTCACAGGAGGAGACTCCGTTGTTCCTGGCCGCCCGGGAGGGCAGCTTCGAGGCTGCCAAGCTACTGCTGGACCACTTTGCCAACCGTGAGATCACGGACCACCTGGACAGGCTGCCCCGGGATGTGGCCCAGGAGCGGCTGCACCAGGACATTGTTCGCTTGCTGGACCAGCCCAGTGGGCCCCTCACGCCCCCCGGCCCCACGGCCCTCGGGGCCCCCCTGGCCTCCGTCGGCCCCGACCCGGGGCCTTCCCGTGCCCGAGGCCCTCGAACGGTCCGGG